TGAGGTTTAAAAGCCTAAAAATATAACATTTGAATTTCTTACATACATGAGCTGGGCACTTTAAACAGAAATATATGCAAAGATATTAAAGAAATATACTTTACGGTGAAAGGGCGTTTAGCGCAACGTCAAAATATCATCTTTCTGACCGAGACACCGTATATTTCTGGACAAAATATTAATGGCGGGATAACCAAATTGCAGGTAATAGCTTACAAAATATCTTACTGCTGGACATTGCAAAATTATTCCAATTGTTGAAGCATTCCATCGAATTTTTGAAAAAATCTATCTTTAATCTAGCACAACACAATTCACAAAAAATTACATAGTGTTTACAAAAACCGGTGTCTACCTCAACATGACTCCTACTTGTCACAAAAACGTGTGTTAAAACGACGATGTCTTTGTTCTATGACCTTACGAGCTCGTATATATATTATGGTTAAGCATACATTCAAGTTCCATACAAAATTGTGTGTTTCTAGTTGTATCATAGTTTGGGGACCTTTCTGTTGAAAATGTGTCAGAGTGAAATCGTATACATACATATACATGCACAGTGCGTTAACTGGAGTGCAGGTATTAGTTACCCGCACTCCAGAGCATGCCCATTGATTGGCTCATTTCTGCTAGGGTTTACTGCAGAGAAAGGGATAGCGATAGAAATATCATATTCAGATGCTCGTTCATTGGTTCCTTTTTTCTGGGGTTTCATATTATGACAACAGGGAACGCGTTTTTATGTTTGAAAATGATACAAAAGATTAAAAAGAGAAAGAACATCAAAACACTCGGCAATCTGATTAATACTCATGGCTCCCCCCCCCCCCTCGTACAAATCAGATAATATTGTACCTACATAGGATAGTATTCCATTAAAAAACTAACATTCATTATTCAGACTTTGATATTAGCCAACATGCTATCAAAGCATGCACTTCGTCATTCAAGACAGTCAAATTTAACTCAGGTTATTAAATCACAAAATTATAACACAGACAAACAGTTCGTACCCTTATACGAAACTATTAAAGTGCGAAAAATGCAACGAGGTCACGTTTTATCTGACTAGGAAGTAAAAAGTTTGGAAATAGGATCATTTTGTAAACTCAGATAAACAAGCACAGTACGGTTTACAATTTATAAAGAGATATTTATTTCTTTCGTGTCATCTGCGTTAGATTGAATGTGTGTTGTTTATACGAGTATAACGTGACTTTGCTTTTGTAAAATTCATTTTTATTTTACGAATTTGGACTTTAAACTGTGAAATATTGATTTTTGTGGTAAGTAAAATATTAAAAATGGTTTGATGATTTTATAAAATGACTCAAACTTTTGAAAATAACACGTTGTTACCAGTTACCTTAACCTACGTTTGATTTAAAATGGCATATAAGATGTAAAGTTGAATAAATATTGAAATTGTCTTCTTTAAAATTTAAAACAACTTAGTTTAAATATAGTTTATTTCAAACAAGTAAACACATTTTACTATTCACACATTAATATTTACAACACAATGAATGGATGGAAAAGTATTAGACCCGAAAGCTGGTGTTTATAAAGATCTTCAAACAACTTAATAATAATAATATTATTAATAACAACTCTTATTAAGAAAGTATGCCTTATTAAGACAATACATTAAAGCATCAAAGATAAGACATATATAATGTAAAATCTCATTTTCAATAAGGCCTTCAATAAACATATAAACATACTACACGAAATTATACTGATTATAACATTAAGTACATCTTATCCAACAAAGAAGACAAGACATACTATTATATATGGTATAAGTAAATTGTCTATAACCCATCTTTTGATAATAATAAATATTTGAAATGTGATTTAAACAGTTTAAGACTGGTAGAATTTCATATTTTTAAAGGAATATTGTTCCATAACTCTATACTAGAATAATTAAAAGTATGTTTCAAATAACTTTTTTTGGATCGTTTATAATGTGTTTTTTTTCTCTGTTGGTCTTAATAAGTACGTTTTATTCTATTATATCTGAAATATATGCTGGTGTTAAAAACTTAATTTATTAATCGCTTTCTACGCCATAATTCCAGAAAAGTAATTACATCTAGACGTAAGAGATAACCATTTTAGATTTTGACACATTTCAAGAGATCTGGGTTTTACGGGTTTTTGTTTTTTTGTTTTTTTTTTTTTTTTTTTTAATGATTCGGGCGGTTCTTTGCTGTAATTTCTATTTTTACTATGGATTTGATTTGTTCTGATAAAATTGATTAGTTCTCTATTATTAAAATGACAATGCTTTTGAAGGCAAATACCAGCATAAAGTTTAAAAACAATTCAACAAACAAAATGCTTTGAATTTTGTTTGTTTGTAGAATAATTGCGACAACTACGGGTCGACATAGGTTATCTCTTATGCAGATTAAATGCTTAACTCGTAAACAATTACGTGTGCGCTGATTAGTATCATAATTTTCGCCCAAGTATAAATGAGTCATTAACTAAAGCAAGATATTAACATAAAATCCTTGAATACGGATTTTTCAGCCAGATATGGGTATATCATTTTGCTTAATAGATACTTGTACTAATGGCATAATTAATTTTGCCCATTTTTCACTTTATAAACTGTAGTTGTTTTTATTGACCTCCCTATATTAGTGCACAGTTATTCTGCTTATCGGCCAACAGATGCACATAAATTTAATAATTTGCGTACTTAAGGAACTTTCAGGTACAATGATTTTAATAAAACAAAATATTCATTGTCACTTTTATATTTTTATAACAGTTTCAGTTGGTAGTCTATAATTCAAAAAAACATAACGTTTACGTAAAAACGACACGATGTAGAAATTCTGGGGCGTCTGTGACCGAGTGGTTAAAGTCGTTAACTTCAAAACACTTGCCCCTCACCGCTGTGGGTTCGAATCCCGACAAGGACTTTGGATTCTTTCATGCGAGGAATCTATCCAGCTAGCCTGGGTTCCAGTCTGTCGATTTTTTATGTGTTTCTGTTTGGCAAATCGACACTTGATACTATCAAAAAGTATGATGCGCGTATGTTATGATTAAGCAAAAAATATCAACGCCTGAATCCCAGGCTACTATCCAGCTAGCTTACGGTGGTTCTACTCAATAATGCACGGGAGGGCACCTGAGGTCTTTCTGGAAAGTCGCCATATGACCTAAACTGTGTTGGTGCGACGAAAAACCCAACCAAAATTATGTATTACATTTGTAATTGTATGAAAATGTTATTTTTATCAAACAACATATTAAATTGTATCATAGTTTGGGGACCTTTCTGTTGAAAGTGTGTCGCAGTTAAATCGTGTTTTGTGTGTGTGTGAAAATGCGTCAACAATATAACTTCCTCGTTTAGAATCGAACCTTATGAACTGATTTATTTTGGTCACATAGAGGAAATTTATAAAAGAGTTTAACCGGAAATAAATATTATAAAATAATCTGTTAGAATGCATTTTAAATGTGAGTTGGTTTGCTATTACTGTCAGAAATTCATTATGAAAAAAGCAATGGTTAGGCAGTGGTATGCGGACGGGACTTTTTCTTGGTTTGTTATAATATATCATACGACTGGGAAGGAAAAGCCCCTAATTTTTAATCATAGTTTACAGGCGAACAACACGCAGATACGTAAACCACCTTTTAATTAACGTGTCAGTAACTTGTGCAAATATTATATTAAATGTTATTTTTGTAATCCCCTGTTACGCATCAATGGTTATTCTTTATATAATACAATATTAGGGGCGTTCGTGACCGAGTGGTGAAGATCGTTGATTTCAAACCACTTGCCCCTCTCTTACTGTTGCGGGTTCGAATCCCGTCAGGGAATTTCGATTCTTTCATTCGATGAAGCTATCTAGCAAGCTTGCGGAACGTCGATGGCTCTACTCGGGTGTTTGTTCTTGCTTGAAATAATTCATTGAGGTATACCATGCAGAGCTCTTCCTCCACCAGTAAAGCTGGAACGTCGCCATATGACCTTTGCAGTGTTGGTGCGACGTACAACCCAACAAAATAAATTACACCATGTATCCTATGTATCATTAAATTTGAGCCGCGTCATGACAAAACCAACATAGTGCGTTTGCGACCAGCATAGATCAGAGCAGCCTGCGCATCCGCGCAGTCTTATCAGGATCCAAGCTGTTCGCATACCAACTCTATTACAAGTAGAGAAACTGATAGCGAACAGCATGGATCCTGATCAGACTGCGCGGACGCGCAGGCTGGTCTGGATCCATGCTGGTCGCATACACACTATGTTGGTTTTGTCATGGCGCGGCTCATTTCAATTTAAGTGTATTAACGTCTATACAAATGTAAATGTTATACTTTTACTTTTTATATAATGATATAAGATACACCCGCGTCATATTCAAATATGTTGATGCATATTTTGCGAACTTTAACGTTTAAATTGTCTATAATATAAAACCACAGATTAGTATCTTGTGACAATTCATGATTCCCCTTTTCATTTTGGGTTGAACGTTTTACATAAATGAATATATAACAGGACTACTGGAGTTTAAATAAAAAAATGAAGGTTTGGTTTTAAAATTTTGTATGGTTTGGTTTTTTTTTTAAAATTTTTTATTTTTTAAATTTTTTATTTTTTTTTTTTTTATTTTTTTTTAAATTAATTTTTTTTAAATTTAAATTTATTTTTTTAATTAATTTTTTTTTAGGGGGATTTTTTGTTTTTAAATTAAATTTATGATTATTTTTATTCTCATCATGGGTTTTTAGAATGGCACAGATGGGGCCCATGGCTATAAACAAAGCACCAGAAGAAACCCCAAAACCAGCGACCTCAAACCTTTTTCCAAGGTCCCCAAATTTGCGGGCGCGCCCTATTTTCCCTAAATGACCTTAATGCCCCCCCGAAGACCAGCGGGAAATTTGAGGGCCCAATTTACTAAAGTCCCCGGGATTGACAATTCACCCCCCCCTTTGGAAGTTTTTCCCTTTTGGGAGAAGAAGGCGCACAGTAAGTTCTGCATTTCAATTTATATCGACCCTCTTTCCAGTCAGTGATTTTTCTACTTATATAACAGACTCCGAAAAAAGGCCTCTTCCCAGTTGAAATTTTCTTTAAACGCATGCAGTTTTCACAAAAAAATCTTAACTTAAACCAGCTTTTTTACTTCTCAAATCAGCAATTCCAGCGATAATTTTTCCCAAAATCGAGAGGCTAAGGCCTCTTCCCAATAAAGTGAGAAAAATCACTGCCAGTAAAATCGACGGATATTCATGTTCCCGCGTTTTTCTCGAGAACGTCACGTTACAGGCGAACATTGAATTTTGATATTTTTTTAAAATCATCTTTGAACAAGCATTTTATTTTGTTCGCTATGTCGTTATTTCTACAAATATGGATAATCTTGCAATGAATTTGTAATAACGTAATAGGTAATATGCCCGATGCAAAAGTTTGGCGGAAACGATCGGTTGGTTCGAGCCCTTTCAAAGAATTGTTGTAGATCTAGTCAGGTTCCAAATCTGAAAGGCACATTATGCCTCAGAAATCCATCATTTTTAATTGTTAAAAATGTCAAACATGTGTGTTTAATAATGTTAAAATACGTCAGATGTGTTACGACTGAAGTATATAGCATGGAATGTGATGTAATGTGTCATAAAGATAACAAATGCAAACAAAAAGTAGTATTTTGACTTTCCTACAAAATACTTATTTACAATATAAATACCAATTGCAAACAGAGCAAAGAAAGCAAAAGATATTCATCTATGTGGCAAAAGAGTACTTTTTGTGAAACTGTTACACGATATACCAAACATATAAGTTTTTGAGAAATTAAATTGATAGCATTCCTGAAGCATAATGGGCCTTTAACCTAAATGAGTTAACGTAATGTCGGGGCAAGTGATTAAGATTAGAAATTATGCTTTCCTTCCCTAGGGGTTGAGGACGAGGGGCGGGGATCAGCTTCTTAACCTTTGATCTATTTCCGTAATGAAAAAATCTGAAAAAACAACACACAACTAAGTATTGAATTGTTGATGGGGAAAATGAATGTTTCTGAGTCAAAACATTTCAAGGTTAAAATGCTGTACAATTATTCTTAAGCTTCAATAAATCTATTTTTATAAGCAGTGTACTGTAAGTATATTATCACTTTAATTAAACACTTATGTAGGGAGTGTTTGTTTAAGTTTAGATTTTGAACCCATAATCATAAGTGCTTTAATGACAAATGGTGCAGAACAAACTTCTTGTATTGTGTTGTGTTTTTGTTGTTATTGTTGTTGTTGTTGTTGAATGTGCATCTTCCGCTCAACAAGCATGAAGCGAATGTTTTATCCGGGGACGAGCCTACACCGAAAAAAAAGATAAAAAGTGAGGTGCGGGTATTTTATACCTATGTGACGAATGTATTAATCTACCAAGTTGTTCTACATTTGTTGTTTGTAAACGTCAAACTTATAAACAACATATTACAAATATAAGATCCTTTAATAGTCGCATGAACTTAACAAGTGGAAACGGGAACAAGTGGAAATAGGAATAACACTAAAGGATATAATGTGGATTAAAAAACCTAGTTGCCAGTTTGTTTTGTTGTTGTTTGTTGTAGTTGTTGTTTTTCTTTAAACATAAGCGACGGCGAAAACTTGTATGTTAAGTGATTTTAAGTGATTTTCTATTTCGTTCCTACCCGCGATACACGATAGTACGATGGTGAAAACTCGATGGTACGATGACATGATGATGAAAACACGATGGTGCGATGGTGAAAACAAGATAGCACAATGGTAAAATCGCGATGTCACGTTGATTTCATGGTGAAAACGCGATATAACCATCGTGCCATCGTGTTTTCACCATCGTACCATCGCGATTTCACCATCGTGCCATCGCGTTTTCACCATCGCACATCGCGCTTTCATCATCGTGTCATCGTGTTTTGACCATCGTACCATCGCGCTTTCACCATCGTGTCATCGCGCTTTCACCATCGTACTATCGCGCTTTCACCATCGTGCTATCGCGCTTTCACCATCGTGCCATCGCGTTTTCACCATCGTACCATCGCGCTTTCACCATCTTGTCATCGCGTTTTCACCATCGTACTATCGCGCTTTCACCATCGTGTCATCGTGTTTTCACCATCGTACCATCGCGCTTTCACCATCGTGTCATCGCGTTTTCACCATCGTACCATCGCGCTTTCACCATCGTGTCATCGCGCTTTCACCATCGTACTATCGCGTTTTCACCATCGTACCATCGCGATTTCACCATCGTGCCATCGCGTTTTCACAATCGTACCATCGCGCTTTCATCATCGTACCATCGCGTTTTCATCATCGTACCATCGCGTATAATGTGGATTTAACGGGTGGAAATTGGATAAAAATCAGTGAACATATTGATAAATTTGCCTTAAGCATTTACTTGCATTACTATTGAGATTTATCTTTTAACCAAAAGTTTTTAATGTTTATAAAAAACTTATCTTCAGAGTTGTCAAAAGTGATTTATATTTTGTTTTTAAGCGCCGAAAGTAACCCGAAAGAGCGGAAATAGCTGTCCCATAATTGTTTTTATTGTTTTGAGATAAAATGTGTACGTTAGATCCTACTTGGCAAAAAAAAAAACTTTACTGTCTTAATCATCATATGGTGAGAGTATCTTAATGATCATAACAAATGGCGTTATCGTGCAAACATTTAACCGAATAAACCACTCCCCAAGTTTAATTGTATGTTTATTTGAATTTGTGAAATCCGGTTGTAAATGCAATCGCAACATTCCGACCCTTTATCAGGTAATGAATAATAGCCGAGGACGTTCCGATTGTTGTAAATGCTTTAAACGCCGAATTGGAGCGTCTTTCATATTTTTTTTTCTGCGTGTGAATATTTTAAAAAATGTACGAGTAACCATTTCTTAAAATAAAAATGTTACATTTACGCCTACAACTTCCGTGTTAAATTGAATCTGGGTTAATTTTATTTTGATGTTGTCTTTCGAAATGGAAATTTATAAATTATAATTATGTTACATTTGAGTAACACGTCCGGTTTTTTAATACACTCGTTATTGTACAATATTTTATTTTGCGTTATTGCACTACCCGATTTTATACGGGTATTTAACGAGTGAATACCCGCATTCATACATTTTTTTCCGGTCGTGCCCTCATTTGCCAAAACTATATTACTTCAGACGATTTTATTACTTTCATTATTACTTTTAGTAACAGTTTGAAAATTGCTGTAAATTTTGTGATTTTTACCAAAAATGGTAATAGCGTAGGTGTGCATGCGTAAATCCGTATTGCATATCAAATAATTAAGGTTTTATTGAAAAAGCGGAAGTAAACTTCTTTTAATTTATGTCAACTTAGTCACGTGCTTAAGGTCAAAGTCTTTATTGAAACGAGCAGACGAATTAATGGTTATTTGTGAATAATTATTGGCAAAAACTATTTATCTGATTTTGATCGATTTGATTTTGATAAGTTTGAAAATATATCGTTTATTTGATCTAGTAAGCTTTTAGACGTAATCACAGATCTTAATAAATATAAATCCGTGAAATCCGTGACGTAAAGTAACGTTAGGACAACGCTTTTAGTGAGAGTTTTTTTTTGTATGATCTCATCTGGTGTATAATTTAGTGTTTAATTTGAATTTTAATACATGTTTATTGTTTCGCTCGAGCATTTATTTAACAGGAAACATCTTAAATTATACAATGCGGTCTCGCTTCCAACTGACTTGTTCTTTACTATATTTACTATCTAAAAAGGTCATTCCGCGCAGTCTGATCTGGATCCATGCTGTTCGCTATCAGTTTCTCTACTTGTTATAGAGTTTGTAAGCGAACAGCATGGATCCTGATCAGACTGCGCTGATGCGCAGGCTGGTCTGGATCCATGCTGCTCGCAAACCCATTATGTTGGTTTGTCATGACGCGGCTCATATATACTATATAAAATATAATTGGGACTGAATATCCGAATATATATGACCTTACTGCTCTGTATTAATGGTGCATTCCCTCTTCCCTGTTTTGACTTAAAAAGTTATTTTTTAAAATAATTATTCAACAAAATAATTGTTAGTCCTATAATGGAAACAAGTGGGAGACATTTAACCCCGAGAGGCCACCAGAAGACAGAATGGTAACCGTGTACATTGCTGTTAGCTTATACGAGATCTTGTACACTGTCTAAGTTACTAGGAGCTACTGCCCTGTGAATGCACTGATTGTTTATGTGTCACAAATGTAACAGCAAAAAATAGCTAGATATAAAAGATTTCCGTATATGAATCTATGTGATATTGGTTACAGAAAGGTCGGAAAAAACTGTTAGTGGCCAACGCCACAGTGACCTCTGACCTACTGACCTGAAAATCAATAAGGATCATCTACTTGTCATAACTTACCTTCACACCAAAAATTATCCAGTTATTGATCGGGCAGGCCTTAAGAAGTCAAGATCACGGTGACTGACCTTTTGACCAAATGACCTCAAAATTTAAAAGATTCATTTACATATCATACAAATATCCATACCAAATCTTACTGCCCTATGTCAAAGCATTCTCTAGAACTTTATTAGTTGGTCAAATTTGAAGCAGCCAAGGCCACAGTGTCCAGCTGACCCCAAAAACGTTAGAAGTCATTTATAAGTCCAGATAAACATCGACACCAAATCTAAGCATGGTCGACCAAATCGTTCTCTGATTATTTATCAGACAAGCATTTTAAGTGGTCCATACAACAATGACATTGACCTTTGACCGACTAACCGCAAAATCAATAAGGGTTAAATCTACTATTCAGTCACCACATCATTGCATTGGGGTTTCGAAAAAAAAACAGATTTTTTAAGGTTTTGCTATATGGATATATTTAGGAAAACACATGAAGCAGGACGCCAGTGACCTTAATCTTACTAGAAGTGTACTATCAAATATATAAGCTTTTGTCCTATGGGTTTCAGAGAACATTTT